ATTTTAAAAGAAAACCACAAACTACTGCACAAAGGCGGTGAGGTTCAGCCAAAAAAAAAAAAAAAATTTAAAAAAAAAAAATCAGGACTTGTGGAATTCACAGTCACTTGGCACAGACTACCAGAAACAAATGACAAAAAATCTGCAGTCACTGCAAAGAGCACATCAGTACTCCCAGAAGAAGGCATGCAGCAGGTGAAAAAGAAAAAAATTTAAAAATCCATTTTTGGGAGCACTTCAGGCCTCATTTGAACCTGCAGGTTCAAAAGGGAAAAAGTTACATTAATACTGAGTTGCTACCAAGCCATCATTTGTGTGGTTTCGAATTTGAGATTAGAAGAGACACCACATAGAGGGAAGTTTGTGCTCATGGGATTTCCAAAGCCACCAAAAGCAGAGAAGAGAAGCTGCTTCCCTCAGAGACCAACAACTTTCCCTATCTGACACCTGTCTACCCAAAACCCTCAATTAACCAGCTCCAACTGCAAGCAAAAATGGGGGGGGAAAAAAAAGCATTTTCTTCTTCCATGATGAAACCCCACGGGAGCCATCAGTTCCTCACACAAATGAGATTTTAACAAGAATTTTAGCAGAAATGAGCAAGCCCAGTACAAACCCACTTCCCAATTCTTGCTCAGAGAGGAGCAGCCCCATTTCCTCCGAGCCACAGCTGGAATGTGGAAGTTCAGCAAAAACTGAAAAACTGAGAACTGCAAAATTTGGAGCAGCTCATTCTCAGAACAGAGAGACCAAAACCTCACCAGGGCTGCCCAGAGCTCCCCAACCACCCCAGGGCTGCAGCAGCAAACACCTCCATGACATTCCTAAAGATTTGCATCCATTTCCCATAATAGAAGAGGCTCTGTAACCTTAATTTTGAAGCTTTTTGGTTTTTTACTTTTCACGATCAGCAGTTTCTTAGGGGGTAAAAAAAAATTAAAAAAAATAAAAATCACACCACTTAGGTTTTCTCATCTAGAAAATACCACGATATTTTTCACACATTGAAGTCAAAAAAGTGAAATGATCATTAATTTCTTCCCAGAAAGGCCCAGAATGAATTTCAATTTAATTAAGGAAAGCAAAAGCATTATGGGCTACTTGATATTAAGGGCTCATTTACCTTTCTAAGGTAAAATATCTAAGCCACCAATTTGTAAATAATCATTTTAGCTCAAGTTCCAACAAATCAGCAACTCACTGCTAATTGGTTTCCATCATCAGAGGGATCAAGAGAAAGTTTTTTAAGGAAAAAAAAGGAGAATTTTTACCTTAGAATGTGAAGGGAAGCAGCCTCAGAGCCCAGTGCTGAGCAGTGCTGGATTCTCCCTCATTTGTTGCACACTTTGAGATAAGTTATCAGGATTTCATCTGAAAAACCTCCACATTTACGTAGCTGGAAGCTCAAGAAACATCCAGCTGCTCAACAGACAATTTTCTGAGCTGGGATGGAATTGTCCTCATAATACACTTTATTTTTAATGTGTTAGAGGCATTTTAGGACTTAGACAAGTCTTTCCTTTTGGATGAATCTACAGTGAGTGTCAAGAGTTTCCAGCAGAAAACCAACCTGAGTAAATTCATCCACAGAAATGTCAAAAGCTGCTGCACAAGCTGCTCCCCACTGATCCAACAAAATCCACAAGTTTTGCATCTTTTGCAGCACCAACATTTCATCCTCAACCAGCCCTGATCTTAGGCCAAAGGGAGAGCTGTCCTTAAATTTAAGCCTGAATTATCTACTCAGCAGTTCTCGCCCCAAAATCACATGCAGGTCCTGAGATTACAAGCAAGGGTGGCTTGAAGAGGTAAATAATAAATTAAAGCTGATCAACTGCCTTATGCCCACATCTATAATGCATGCAGGTTGCATGCACAGCAAAATGCCACCAGATTGCCCCTAAAGAAAGAAACATCATCATGTCCTAATAAAAAATTAAAAAAAAAAAAAATCGCCCACCCGTGTGCAGGGTTCATAGTTTATAAAGGTAAATAACTTCATTACCTGGCTGGAAAATGATGGGTGAGGGGTAGAGGAGCTGTCTGCATCCCTCACAAAAACCATCCTGTTTATCATCTGTACAGCAGCCTTGAGGTTTGGATGGGCACTCTTTGAACAAGGACACGTCCCAGGGACAGTCCCACCCCCAGGGATTTGCCCTCCTGCTCTCTCACCTTGAACAAAGCAGCGTCAGGGGCAGGGAAGGCTCTCACAGCCCTCCCTGGGCTTTAATGGAAGGAAAAGAACAATCTGCCTCCTGCTCTAGCAGCTTTTAGAGAACCAGCAGGTAAACAAACCTCACAATTATCCAGGCTGTTAAAAACTAAGCAGCACGCTGGAGTTTCCGGATGAGAAAAGCAGAGCTGGAGCTTTAGGGACAGGTTTGGAGTGCTGAAAGCCTTCGTTTATTCACTTGGATGCTCGCTGTATGCTAATGGTCACAGAGCTCTTGCTCGGGGCCATGAGAGCAGAGCAAGGAGCAGCTCAGCTGGAGCACAGCCTGCTCTCTGCCAGCTTTCCTGCCTAAACCCTGCCACCAAACAGCTACCTGGCCACAGAACACGGATAAAAGTTACCAGGCTCCAAAAAACGAAACTCCAGCAACTCAGAGAAACTCAGTGATGGGGAGCAAACTGAGTTTATTTCTCCAGTGGGAACAACGGCCTGATGGCTGCTCCTTTAGCCAGGAGAAATTTGGGAATGTGCACACCTCACGGGATACCTGCACTCCCAGCACTTGTTGGGAATCCCCGTGGCACCTGGGCAGGCCAAGCAGTGTCTGAATGCCAGGTGAATGAATGAAATGGAAGCTTGCTGAATGAACTGCTGCTCCAAAGCCTTCAGCACAGCTGTCCCTGCTGCCCTCAAGCAAAGGGATGGCACAGGGGTGACACTGGGAGCATCTGTCAGGAACAGCAGCAGGACACAGCAGGGGCTCTCTCTGACCCTGTGAAAGCAGGGGGAGCCAACAGGCAATTTCTGTTTTATGGGAAAACGGCTTCTTGCCCAGAAAATGTTACATTTCACTCAGTGCACAGCAAAGCTTACCCCACGTCTCTCAAATTAATGCCACCAAACCCCTGGGGGTTTATCACCCTTTCCATGGCCAGCTCCTCACAGATCCCGTTTCCTCTGTGCTGTTTGCTTTTCTGCTGAGGTGTGAGAGCCCAGGGATGATCTCTGTGACCACCAAACCCAGCTTTTCCATCGGGGCTAGGGAGGGGAAAATCCCCTTTGAAAAGAGCGTGTTTGCCATGGCAGGAGGGGTAGAGCTGGAGCCTGCTGCAGTGAGGGAAGGAGGTGCCACCCTGGCTTTGGCATGCTAATGCCACCTGAGCCACTTCACCCTTCTTCCAGTCACTGCTTGGGAAATATCACAAAAAAAAAAAAAAATCCCTTGGAGATGAATAAGCAGGAAGTTGTCAGCATGGCTGTGTAAATAACATGTACAAGGAAATTTAGTTATTTCTTACATCTTCACACCAAAATAAACATGTATTGGCCTGCCTGAAACTCATTTACCATCAATAAATCCAGATTAAGTCCTTCAGTTGAAAGACTGGATCCTTCATCCTCTGAACTTCAGACCATAACTTCAATATTCTGACACTTCAGCACGTGTCTCATGCATTGCCTTTCCCATTTTTTGAGCCGTGCCTGAATCCCTATTTGCACCACCACTGCCATGGGAAAATCAGAAATATTTCCTAAACCAAGAGATGTTTTTCAATGTTAACTTGCTGAGAGGGATTATCAGATCCTCAATGGCATGCATTCATTGATGAAAGTTCTTTAAAAATTAATAAGCTGACAGGCTGACCTTGCTAAAGGGCCCTGATGCAAGAAAAATTATCACATAATCAGAGTGGGTATTAAAAGCTCTGCCCTGTAAACACTCAAGCAGCACAGCAGGCAGTGAGTCTGTGTGGTTGGGTGGGTGCAGAAATGCTCAAGGTTTCTCTTTTTCTGGAAGTGCAGCACATCCTTTAAACACAACCCCACAGATCAGCTGCAAACAGTGGAACAAAACTTGGCCCACACTAAGCCAGCCTAAGGATTTATAAAGCAGTAACTTCATGGAGAAATCTTTAACGTGAATTTGGGGCCTTCAGGAAAGGCAGATTGTCAAAGGAAGAGTTAATTCCACCGCATGTGGGTGCCCTGCAGAGGGTTACATAAGGTGCAGCTTTATCTCCATGTGGCCACACAATACAATGCCTGGGCATTCATTCCCTGTGTTGACAGGCTCTTGGAGGTCTTTGGGAATGATTTGTGTCCTTTTCAGCCAAAGGACTGTGTGACTTTCAGGTCTGGAAAACAGCCAAGGACTAAGCTCGGATACCTTGACACACAGACCCACTGGGCTGCTTGGTTTCTCTCTCTCTTCTCCTCTGTTTGTCCCAGTACTGAAATATGGATATCAAGGGAAGTCTCAGTGGTAGGAATGAGCATCACCTAAAAACCCTGGCAGAGGTTTGGCATCACCACTCCTGTTACAGGTAACAGCAGCAGAGAGCTCACTCCTCTCTCAGGGTCTCCTCAGGACACCTTAGTGAAGTTAAATCTTCTCACTCGCTGGCTGTGTGTCACCTGCAGGGCCAGCAGCAAGGACACAGCCATTCCCAGAGAATTCCCAGGCCTTTTTCTGTGGCATGTGTCACCTGGAGAACCAGGAACAAGGACAGAGCCATTCCCAGAGAATTCCCAGGCCTTTTTCTGTGGCATGTGTCACCTGGAGAACCAGGAACAAGGACAGAGCCATTCCCAGAGAGTTCCCAGGTGTTTTGCTGTGGCATCTGTGTCACCTGCAGGACCAGGAGCAAGGACAGAGCCTTGCCCTGCTGTTCCCAGAGAGTTCCCAAGTGTTTTGCTCTGGACCAGCTCATCCAACCGACACCACGCCACATTCCAGACAAAGTCCGGGGAACAACAGACCCTTCCTGCCTATTTGGGACAGCATCACCTCGGAGCAGGGGAGGGGAGCAGCCAGAGGACCTACCTGCTCTCACTGCACTCCTTCTTCTCTCGGACGCGCAGCCACTTCCGAAGGAGGAAGCGCTTGCGGCGCGGGGAGGCACTGGGAGTGGAGCAGTTGGACCAGGGGGTGTCCTCATCACTGGAGGGGGTGATCTCAATGGATGGCAGCTGCAGGAATTCCTTGCTGGAGGAAGGAGAATCCTGGTACCTGCCGGCCTCCAGGCTCTGCTCCTGCACGTTCTTCATCCTCCTCATCTTGAAGCGCCTCCTGCGCAGGGTCGGGGTGGACGAGCTGGACCAGGCGCAGCCGCCCTCCAGCACCTGCTGCTCGGGGACCCGCAGCGCCGGGAGCTGCAGCGTTTCTGTCATGTTGGCAGCTGGCATCAGACGCCCTTTCTCCTTCTGCTCCCACCCCCAAGCACTTGTGGCTCCGATCTGGGTGTCAAGAACACCGCAAAGCCACAGCTCGCCTTCCTCCTGCCCGTGTGCCCGGCGCTGCCCTGCCTCTCAAGCAGGAAACCTCATGTTCTTCACGTGCTCTCATTTAACAACCAGCGGGGTGGGAGGGCATGGCTGGGACACACACACGCACACACACACACACACACACATGCCACAAGGGAAGCCAGTTTCAAGTTTCTTTTCTCCTCTGCACAAAGTCCCTCCCCTGCCCGGTCTCTCACTGACACAAGGGTTGGCAGCCAGGGCTTGGCCGGGCTCCAGCTCCCCCTCCCCAGCCCCGCTTTGCCTTCTGCTGGCTCAGCAAAGGAAAAGTCTCCCGGGGCTGCTCTAGGAAAACTCGGCTGTGCTTCTTCTCGAGGGACGAGGCAAGCATGGAGCGGAGCGGCGTGGAGCTGTGGGGAGGGCAGAGAGAGAGAGAGAGAAACAGAGGGAGGGGAGGAACAAGGCTCCGTAAAAATCGGGAAGGAGAGCGGCGGGAGCAGCGCGTTGTGTTTGTGCAGAGGGCGAGACACACGCGGGCAGCTGGAGCAAGTGTGACCGCGCTCCTAAATCCCCGGAGACAGGGCTTGTGTTACCGGGAATGCTGCTGCTGCACATCCACCGCATTTCTGGAAAAGGGGCAAGAGCCTCCCGGAGGAGCCGGGCTCTGCCTTTTGTCCCTTTTGTCCCTTTTGTCCCTTTTGTCCCTTTTATCCCACCCTCCTGCTCAGCCAGCCCACCCCGAGAAGGAGGCAGAGAGAACTTGCACTTTCAGCCTTCTTGCACAATAATTTCTTATTTTTCCTCTTTTTTGTTTGTTTGTTTGTTTGTTTTATTTTATTTTTTTTTAGGTCCCCATTGACTGCTCATGGAGAAGCCAAAGGAGGAAGGAGATTGAGTTGAGGAACGGCCAAAAAAGCAGAAAATGCAGCAGCAGCAGCAGCAGCAGCAGAACTGGTCACCCAGTTCTGAGCTTTTAGCTCAGTTTCACGCCAGTGAAAGCTGATTTAAAAGAGTTCTCGTGGGGCGATGCTGCTTCCAAAATGCCTGTAGGGGATGATGGAGGTGTGAGGTGCAGGGACACCACAAAGGACAGCGACAAGGGCAGAACAGGTTTCACACCGGGACAAAGGCAATGCAGGGACAATTCTCAGGCATCCACACGCCAAGGGAGCTCCACCAAGGGTGGGACACACCACAGGACACGGCTGGCAAAAATTCTGGTGATGAAATCAAATCAGGGAAAAATGTTGTGACAGATTCTCCAGAAGTATCCTCTGAATTTCGCTGACTGATCCTGCATGAGGCCCTATTTTCATGTGAAAAAAAAAAGGGATATAAAATTAAAATCCTCTAAAGCAGTGACTACAATTCAGCTGTGTGAATTTTGACCGTGCTCTCTCTCAAAAAAAAAAAAAAAAAAAACAAACACCAAAAAACAAAAACACAAAAAACATCTCCAAATCAACCTGACACAGCTTTAGTTTTCATTGTTCAACAGCCTGAACCTTTAAAAATATTAGCTTCAGGTTAGAAAATATTTGTCAACCCAAATGAAAATAGTTATTCTTGCATGGACTGCCTCGGTTTTGTTTGAAAATAAACTTCACAGGAACTCTGAACATCAGAAACTTCCATCTAGGACAGAGATAATGTGTCAGGAAAGGAAGATTTATAGCAGCAGGAACAAGGGGGAAGGAAACATTTCAATCAAGTGACAGAGCAGTTTAAATGCTCAAGTGCTATATTTAATTTCTGCACTGTCCTTTTTGCTCTGCTCATTCTGTAAGTTAATAGCCTGACAGCTCTTCAGATGGATTTCTGGAGAATCTGTCACCTTGGTATCCATGCACCAGGTGCACACACAAACAGAATGCCTTCCACAAGCACCCACTTAAAAAGAGAAACTCAAATAAACGTGCTTTGTTGTTTGCTTTTTAAGTCCAAGAAACAAAAATCTACAGTTCAGACAAATTGCCAATATTTCAAAAGGTGGCTTGGGGAGCTTTGCATCTTCTCTGCCTCGGGGGAAGATCCCTTTTCTCCCACATCTTGCCATGATTTCTACCTTGTCACCACACAGTCAGAAGCATTCCTGGCTACCTCATAATCCCAAAAATTACATTTCACCTTCTTCCCAGGGCAGCTGGGAATCAAACCCCCATAGCATCACTCCTGAATTTTAACCAAGGCAATGTGAACCTTCACACACTCCACCTCCCTGCTCGGGGAAGGCACGAGCAGCCCTTTGGAGATCACCATGAAGGTTTGTTCCGTGCATTAATGAGTTTGATCTCCCGTGGAATCTTTCATTAGCTGCACAAGAGCCTCATTTAATTGCAGCAACAAGTACAAATGAGGGTCAAAGCTCGTGCTCTGTGCTTTAGCACAGTGGGCATTGCAAACCCTCAGAATGCCCACAGCAATTATCTAATTAATCCACAAGGGACTCATCCACGCTGCTCTGGGCCAGAGATGATTTTTCTCTGATTTTTCTCTGATTTTTCACCCTGATCCCCACTAAACTCACTTGGAGAAAAAACATTTTCCCACCTCTTTTATACACAACGATGAAATAATTCTCTGTAATCTGGGAGTGTTCCTCCTCCTCTGGAGTGAGGCAGCAGCACAGTGAGTGCCCCTTTAACTCCGAGCACTCCAGGGATTAGTGACCAACCCTCACTGGCACTCTGGCATTCCTGGCACATTTTTATCCTGCAGAGGGGATGCTGCAGAGGGCACCTGCCTGATGCTCTGGGAAAAGAGAGAAGCTCTGCCACGAGAGCCAGCTCCAACACCTGACCCAGAGTGAGAGATTCCAGCCTGAGCAGGGACTATTTCTGTCCCAGCCTCGCTTAATGACTATTCCTGTTTAATGATGCAGCTAATGACGGATTTATTCCAGCAACAACAAATGGTTGTCGATGCTTCAGGTTGATCAACAGTTTTTCTCCTCCTCAAATATTCTGGGTGCTCCAGTGCTCTCAGAAAAGGGTTTGCAAATGAAGCAATTAGGGAAGAAAAGTCCTATAAAAAAATTAAAATCCCTCCCCTGAAGGAAGAATGTGAACTAATGGCAGCCCAGATTCTTTGGCTTTCCCATGGATTTAAGGGGCAGCAAAATGGGAGATGAATACAGAGTAGTAGCTGGCACTGAGAGTACACAGTAAAAAACTAATTTATGAATTAAAAGCAGTTACTTTTAAGCACAGGAAATGCATTATAAATGCATTAGAAGTTGAACCAAGTCACTCAGATGCACATCTGGCTGCAGCAGCTCTGCCAGGCCAGGCAGGGACATTGCAGCACTCACAGCCTGGGAAGAACTCAAGCAGAATTCCCCTTTTCCCCATAGTTCGGCATAATTTTCAATTTCTTTCCCTCCCTGTGCACACTGCTGAGAGTGGCAGCTTCTTCATGAGGAGCCTGCAACTCAGGCATGACCCTGCTAAGTCAAAATTCTGATTTTCCAAAGTTCAAAAACATGCAAGGAGTTTTTGGGTTTTTGTTTATTTGGTTCACTTTTGGTTTTGTTTGTTTGTTTTTCTTTGGTTTTGTTTGTTTTGTTTCGGTTTTTGTTGGGTTTTTTCCTGGTTTTTGTTTGCTTGATTGGGATTTTTTTGTTGTTGTCGGTGCTGGTAATGGTGGTGGTTGGGGGATGTTTTTGTGAAAATTCTGGAGTAATTTTGTGATTTTTAAATGAAAACCCGATACATTTATCCACATTTACATTCATCCTTCTGCAAGAACACTTTTTCTCTTCGGAGCTGGATCTCAGACAAGGACTTCAGCCATATTTTGCCCTTTGCACATCAAATTTTATTCCATTACAATCTAACAGATGAGAACCAGCTGCAAGCAGCACGTGTTGAGTAAATTCTCATTTCAGTGCCCTCCAGCCCCTTTAGAGGGTGCCCTCCCTGCAGTCTCTGTGCCTTGAGCAGGTTTGCTTTGGGCTGGTGACACCTGATCCCTGCACGTGTTGTTTTCTGGAACCCCAGACAACACAAATTTCACAGGCAAGAAATATCAACAACAGGGACAAGAAATATCAACAGGGACAAAGAGAGGTTCACACATTCCTCTGGCTCATGCTCACATCAATTTTTCCCTCCTCGGTGCAATATTTCAGTTAAAACTCCAGTCAGTGAGAAAATCAGCTTTTGGATAAATTGTATCAATTCTTTCTGGTATAGAACTTGGATTTGTCTGGGTTTTGGACTCTGAATGAAAATCCCTGTAGTCCCAGTGCCCACAAGTGCCAAGTGCATCACTGGAGGTCACCCATCCCAAAAAATTTGGGAGCAGCAACTCTCAGCTCCTACTGAGATCACAGCCTGGTAACAATTTGTGTCCAGTCTCTGCTCTGAGAGCCAGAACTTGATGAATATTTGTTCTATCACAAATTTTAATAGTACTTGAAAAGATGGAAAAAAGGGCTTTCTTAGGGGTTAATCTATACAGATATTCTGTGTTTATAGAATTAGAGACTGATGTTTATTTGTGCCTTCCCTTTCACAAGGAACAATTCCCGTGTCAGCAGCAGCCATTGAAGACTCCAGCCCATGAATTGTTGCTAACAGAGCATCCCCTCCACCAGGCATTCCAGCTGTGGCCTCACACACAGCAGCAGCCCCCAGATGTTTCAGATACCCCCCAGAATCCCAGGAGCTGTCACATGTGATTCCAGCAGCCCAGCACAAGGAGCATTTTCTCACCATTAGGGCAGCACTTTCACAGTTAATTTCTTTAGGCGCTGTTCTCTCTCCAAATTCAAGGGGACAGTGGAGCCAAAGATAGCAAGCAATACAAATTAAATCAATGCCATGGCTTGGCAGTGATAATCCATCAGGAGACAGCAGCAGGGCACAGGTTTCAGAACCTGTTTGACAATCTGAGTTCTCTTTATGTTTTAGAAGTGAAGGGAATTATTTGGCACTGCCTGTTCACGCTGATCAAGGGATTCTGCTTGAGCACCAGCACGGGAA